GTGGCCTGTCCATAGGGGCAGGCTCACAGAGAAAGCCGGTCTCTTGTGCTTCAGGGGAACAAATCACCCCTCCCTCCCCCCCAGGTCAGGGTTAGAACAAGAAAATGAAAATAGTCAGTTCAGCACTGACTAGATGCCAGCCCTGTGCTAAAAACTTTCTACGTACTTTCTTATTTCATCCTATTTCTATTTTACAGTTGAGAAAACTGAGACTCACCAAGGTAACTTGCCCACAGTCAAACACACCACGTGGCACAGAGCTTAGGTTTGAAGGCTGATGCCAAAGTTCATGTGATTGGCCACTGTAGTAAATTCCTTCACTCCTTCGACGAACGTATCAGGGAGCGTTCAAGTAGTGGGGATACAGGAGTGGGCACAAAGAATGAAGGCTTTCCTTACGCAGCTTCCACTCCAGTGAGGAGACAGAAAACGCACAGCAAAGTGCGTTTGCAGGCTCTACTCACTCGCTAAGCAGAGTGACAGGATCAAGAGTAGTGGGGAGGGGCGAGGGGCGGCTCCTGTGCCCAGAGTGAGTGATCAGGGAAGGCCTCTGTGAGATGCCGCTGGAATGGGATTACCCTATGCTCCTGCATTTTCTCATGGACACCCGCATGCTGGCAACTCCAGCTACTGCTCCTGGGGCTCTATATTTACACACCCTGACAGGTCTCTTTTGATCAGGGTACCTCTAGGGAACTCTATTTCACTGGGGAGACACAACTGGCATTCTTCCACAGAAATAGGTTGGACGATGTCTTCAGCAATATGCTGGTTGGTGTGTCTTCAGAGTTGTCCAGAGAAAAGTGCTCTCACCTTTCAACAAAAGCATTCATTTTACTTGGCAGGTGAACCCTATTCTTCTAATAACAATGGATAACAGTTGCCAAGCACTTGCCACGTCATGTGTCAGACGTGGGTCTAAGTGCTTTACATGTGTCATTTCGTTTAATGCTGACAATCACTCGAAAGGGAGATTGTCTGAGCTTTGGCTGCCATAACCAAATACCATAGACTGGGTGGCTTAAACAACAGGAATTAATTTTCTCACAGTCCTGGAGGCTAGAAGTCCAAGATCAAGGTGCCGGCATGGTTGAGTTCTCTTGAGAACTCTCTTCCTGGCTTGTGGACAGTCTCCTTCTCCCTGTGTCCTTACATGGTAGAGAGAAAGAGAGGGAGAGGGAGGATGGGAGCTGCATGATGTCTCTTATTATAAGGGCACTAATTTCATCATGGAGCCTGTCGAAACCTAATTCTCCCAAAGGCCCCATCTCCAAATGCCATCACATTGGGGATTAGGAATTAAATATACAAACTTTAGGGGAACACAATTCAATCCATAGCAGAGATGTCATTATTACTGCCATTCTACAGGTAAGGAAACAGGTACAATGAACTCGGGTAATTTGCCCAACATCATATGCAGTGGAATTAGTATCGAGTTCTTGTCAGTCTGACACATATCAAAAACTATCTTTGTGAGAAAGAAGAAAATGGCACAATATTACTGGTTCTGAACCCAAATCATGAACTCTGAAAGTGCTTAACAACAACAACAAAAAATACCAAAGCCCTACAACTTCTAAACCAAGGAACAAACCTTAAAGGGAAACTTCTTTAAAAAGTCCTATATCCTGGCATACCACGGGTGTAAAGCTTTTTTATTTTAAGAAAAAGAAAGAGTGCACACGAGGGGGTGGGCAAAGGGAGAGCGAGAGAGAGAATCTTAAACAGGCTCCAACATGGGGCTTGATCTCATAACCCTGAGATCGTGACCTGAGCCAAAAATCAAGAGTCGGATGCTTAACCAACAAGCCACCCAGGTACCCCTGCGTGTAAAGCTTTTTAAACTGAATGTTAATAAAAATGTTCTTGACCACTATGCTATGCAGCTTCTTTCCACGTGGAAGGATGCACTTATCCATCATACAGGTAGAACACTGAGGAATGCACAATAAACTCTTCATAGAGATGAACATATCCTTCTTTGAAGGCTTTCAAAGAAGTAAACTTCTACTTTAAATCCTGTAGCTATTACAATACCATTTTTTCTTGGACAGAGGAGTTTGGAATTTATTCCAAAAATAAAGGTCTGTGGAGGGTTCCAATTTTCAAAAGGGCACGGTCGGAGTTGTGAAGAACAGACTGGCATTGGAGAGGTCTGTAAGAATATTACTATGCTGTTTCAAATTCAATTGACTTTCAGTGCTATAGCCATCCCACACCCATACAGTTTGGATCCATTTACTTCCCTATCCCCACTGTCATCACCCTAGTCCAAGCCATTATCATTTCTCACTTTATTTTCTATGAAGTCTCCTAACAAGTCTCCCTGCTTCCTCTTTTTCTCCCATTAAAATCAATCTTCTACATGGTAACTAGGGAATTTGTTTTTTTTTTTAAATAATAACTTCATTTTGATATAATTCATGCACCCTGAATTCACCCACTTAAAGTATATAAGTAAATGGATTTTAGTATAGGGGCGCCTGGGTGGCTCAGTTGGTTAAGCGACTGCCTTCGGCTCAGGTCATGATCCTGGAGTCCTAGGATCGAGTCCCAAGATCGAGTCCCAGGATCGAGTCCCAGGATGGAGTCCTATGTCGGGCTCCCTGCTCAGCAGGGAGTCTGTTTCTCCCTCTGACCCTCTTCCCTCTCGTGCTCTCTGTCTCTCATTCTCTCTCAAATAAATAAATAAAATCTTTAAAAAAATAAATAAATGGATTTTAGTATATTCACAAGATTATGCAACCGTTGCAAGTGTCTTGTTTTTTAAAGATTTTATTTTATTTTATTTACTTTTAAATATTTTATTTATTTTATTTGAGAGATATAGAGAAAAAGAGCTAGCAGAGGGAGGGAGGAGCAGGATCCCTGCCAAACAGGGAGCCCAATGTGGGGCTCAATCTGAGGACCCTGGGATCATGACCTGAGCCTAAGGCAGACGCTTAACTGACTGAGCCACCCAGGTGCCCCTTAAAGATTTATTTTTAAGTAATCTCTGCACCCAACATGGAGCTGGAACTCACAACCCTGAGATCAAAAGTTGCATGCTCTACTGACTAAGCCAGCCAGGCACCCGAAAGTGTCTAATTTTAAAACATTTTAATTATGCCTTGAAAATACCTAATACCTGCTAATAGGTATTATTAGCAGTCATTTCCCATTCCTCCTTCCTCCCAGCCCCTGGCAACCACTAATCTACTTTCTGCCTCTGTGGATTTGCTGATTCTGGACACTTCATGTAAATGGAATCACAGAATATGTGATTTTTTGTGTCTTGCTTCTGACACTTAGTGTAATGCTTTCAAAGTCTATCTTTGTTGAAGCATGCATCAGCACTTCATTCCATTTTATGACCAAATAATATTCAATTGTATGGACATATCACATTTTACATTTCCACCAGGAGTGTGTGAGGGGCCTAGTTTCTTCACATCCCTCATCAACATTGGTTATTATCTATCTTTTTTATTACAGCCATCCTAATGGTTACAAAGAACCATCTCATTGTGGTTTTGATCTGTGTTTCCTTGATGAATAATAATGTTGAGAATCTCTCAATGTACTTACTAACTTTTGGTATATCATCTTTTTTTTTAAGATTTTATTTATTTATTTGACAGAGAGAGAGAGAGAGAGTACAAACTGGGGAAGCGAGAGAGGGAGACACAGAGGAGCAGGGAGCCCAATGTGGGGCTTGATCCCAGGACCCTGAGCTGAAGGCAGATGCTTAACCGACTGAGCCACCCAGGCACCCTGACTTTTGGTATATCATCTTTGAAGAAATGTCTATTCAGCTCCTTTGCCCATTTTTTAAAAATAGGGTTATTTATCTTTCTATTAATGAGTTATAAGTGTCTTTTACATATTAATGTATACATGTCTTTGATCTATTTTGAATTAATTTTTGTGTATGATTGAGGTAGGGATCCAGTTTCCTTCTTTATATAGAATGACCCAGCACTATTTGTTGAAACGACTAGAAAGATCTTTTAAAAAATAGATCAGATCATACTCCTTCTCTGATTAAAACTTTTAATAACTTTCCATTGCACTTACAATAAAATCCAAATTTCTCTGCCTACTCCTTCACTCTCATTTTATGCCACTTTCTCTCTTGCTCACCAGGCTGCCAGGTTTCTCATTTCTCAGAATAAATAAAGCTTAGTTTTCCCTTAGTTTCCTCATCTTTCTTCATTTCTCACCTTAAATATCATCTCCTCATAGATGACTTTTCTCAACTTTTCTTGTAGATTCCCATCCCACTTATTTCTTGTATCATCTCCTATAATTTTCTTCATAGCTTTAATTATCAATCTCTATATATATCTGCATTTGTTTTACTACTTTACTTTTGAGTAATACTTCTTTGTATTTTCCATAGTGTTTTGCATATTGTATACATTCAGCTCATAAGTCATGTTGTTAGAAACTAGAGAAACTAGAATTTACAATTAGATGGGACGTAAAAAAAATCACCTGTCAACTACTCCTACTTTACAGATCCCAAACCAAAGTCTAAAGAGTGTGAAAGAGTTGTCTGGGGTCAGCAGGAGTTGATTTTGAGAGCTCTAATTTCCGCACTGATTTGCCCTATTCCATTGTCATGCATTTTTTCCAAAATTACTAAAATGAAGAGGAGGTTTTTTGTAATTTCTTATAGAAATGACATTATTTTTCTAAGTTTGCTTTCTAAAATGCCTGGAATGGGCCCTCAAATGGATGGACAGGACCTGGTGAGGAAGGCTGGAAGTCACATTTCGCAAGGGCATAACATCGGACCACTTCTTGGTTTCTTGCTCCTGGGCTGTCCCACCTCCTTCTCCCTCAGCCCTTTCCCTTCTTCCGGGTCAACCGCCCCGGCGGGGCTACCCCGAGGCTCCGCCCCCTTCAGGGCCGCGTGCCCTGCGCCAACATGGCGCCAGGCGCTTCTGCTCTGGGGGAAGTGAGCTCACGCTACTCCGGAAGGGAAGGCGGGGAAAGAGCGGGCGGGTGGGTGACCCGCCGTGGGGCTGTGGGTGGGGCGGCGGCCGCAGCTGTGGCATTCGCGTTTGGGGCTGGAGAGAGGGCGAGAGGCTCGCCGGCCCCTGGGAGCCCAGTCGAGGCCCCAGGGCCGGGGGGGTTGGAGGAAGTCGCTCCGAGAGGCTCGCCACGGGCCGAACGAGAGACGGCCCTGGGAGCCGGCGTCCCGCCCCCGGCGGCCTCCTTCCCCGTCCCTCCTCCTGGGCTGCGCGCGGGCGGCCGCAGCTCTGTCTCGGGGGCTGCGGCGGGAACCGTCGAGCGGGCTGGACGGAACCCTCCCTCAGAGGACCCGCTGGAGGAGAAGAGGGAGCGCGGTGGGTCAGGCCGTCAGCTCAGAGGTCAGGCCTCGGGTCGCGCTCCGTGGTCCTCCGTCCTTCGCCCAGCCGTCTTGGCTAGAGTCCGCGCCCTCCCCGCGCCGCTCCAGCTTCTCTTTTGAGTATGCCACCAAACCCTCTGGCAGGGTGAGCTTTTTTCCTCCTCGCTTTTGCCGGGAAGGAGATATATATTTAAAGGATCCCCGTGCTCATTGCTACCCCTGCCCTCTTAAAAGTTTGCCTTCGGTAGGAATGCTTGTATTCCTTCCCTGGACCATTTGATGATTCCCACTCCAGCCGCGGCCTGATTCAGTAACCGGAATCACCTTCCGATCAAATCTTAAGAATTAATCACCTACAAAACTACTCTGCGGAGTTCTCTCCCGCGCAAGAAGGGCAAATGGACTTTGGCGTTAAGATGCAGGGGGGTGAACCAGTGTCAACGATGAAAGTGTCTGAGAGCGAAGGCAAGCTGGAGGGCCTGGCCGCCGCGGTGACCCCGAACAAGAACAGCGGCAACAGCAGCTGTGGGGGTGGAGTCGGCGGCGGCGGCGGCGGTGGCGGCGGCGGCGGCCGCGGTGGCGGTGCGAAAGGCTGGCAGTACAGGTACGGCACTTTCTTCAGGGTGATTTCCTCAGGTGGGGGTAAGTATGCTGGAGTCTGCATTTGTGCAGTTGTTGAAAGGTGAAGTTACCCACTGACTTCCAGAAGCAGCCTCTCAGTTGGACCCGGGATCTCCTCTTTAATTAGCAAGATTTTCATTCATTCATTCATTCATTCATTCACTCATTCATTCATTCGTCCATTCAACAGGTTATTTATTGAAGGCCTTTTGGAGAATACATAAATGTATCCCTGAAGTTCCTCCAGCATCCCTAGAGTTAATCCCTCCTCTGATTTAATTTTTCTGTACTCGTGTTTTTGCCCGCGTTGTAATTTGTTTACAGGCCTGCCTGCTCTGCTGGACCGAGGGCAGGAACTGCTTAACTCAGCTCTCTCCAGAGACTAGCAAATGCTAGGTGCTCAAAACATTTGTCAAGGGACTGAATGGAATCATTGCATAAGAAGATGCTTGCCTCAGTTTGTGACTTAGAAGGGGAGATACACATAAGTAATTGGAATACGGGGGCAAAGGTGCAGATGCTCCTGCCTCTCATACTCTAGACCAGTGAGCCTGAAGATGTTTCCGTTTGAGTTGGTCAGGCCATTTACAAGCTCTGTCTTGTTGAGAAATTCTACATTTGTTAATTTTTATTAATACGAAGAAAAAATTTAAGGAATAGGAAGAGAGTGCTGGAGAAGCAATGGTAGTTTTGTTTTTGTTTTTGATATGTAGAGAGCTATATAACCATCCAGAATCTTTTTAATTGAGATATACTTGACATGTAACTTAATTATATTCACGCCTACAACATAATGATTCCATATTTGCGTGTGTTTTGGAAATGATCACAGTACATCTAGTGAACATCCATCACTGTATATAGTTACAATATATTTTTTAAGGATTTATTCATTTATTTATTTTAGAGAGAGAGCGCACGAGAGGGTGAAAGAGCACGCGTGCCTGTGCAAGAGTGCACCAGCACCAGGCATGCAAAGGCAGGGGCAGAGGGAGAGGGAGAGAATTTCAAGTAGGCTCCCTGCGTGAAGTTCCACTCAAGGCTCAATATCACCACCCTGACATCCCAACCAGAGCTGAAATCAAGAGTCGGTCACCTAACCAAGTGAGCTGAGGTGCACCCCAGTAGTTACAGTATTTTTTTTTTATTGCGATGAGAACTTCCAAGATTTCTCTCTAAGCAACTTAAAAATACACAATATAGTATCATTAATTATAGTCACCATGCTGTGCACTACATCCCCAGGACTTATTTTGTAACTGGAAGCTTGTACCTTTTGATCACTTTCACCTAGTTCATAGCCCAACACTCCACCCCACACTTCCTCTCTGGCAGCCAGGGATCTGTCTCTGTATCTATGAGTTCGTTTTTGTTTTGTTTTGTTTTGTTTAGATTCCACTGTAAGTGAGACCATACAGTATTTGCTTGTCTGTGTCTAACTTATTTCATTTAACATAATGCCCTCAGGATCCATCCGTGTTGCAAATGGCAAGATTTCCCTTTTTTTGTGGCAAAGTAATATTCTGTTTTATATACCACATTTTCTTTATTTCTTCATCTGTTGATGGACACTTAGGTAGCTTCCACGTCTTGGCTGTTGTAAATAATGCATTGAACATGGGAGTGCAGATAATCTTTTCAAGTTAATGGTTTTTTTTGTTTTTTTTTCCAGATAAAATACCCAGAAATAGAATGGCTAGATCACCAGAATCTTAAGAATGAATGAAATCAGGCTATTTCATGGTATTGAAACTAAAGGAATGAATTGTTAAGTTTTGGTTCACTGACTGCCTGTGTACCTAATTCTAGTCCTTTTCAGCCCTGTGCTGTTTGTAGTTGTGAAATCTGAAAGGGATTAAAGCCAAGATTTTGTGAAGGATATACATTTATCATGAATGATATCCATATATGTGAAAAATGCATGACTATATTAGCATAGAGAAATGAAGTGTAGAAAATTATAACTTTTTATTGGTAAGTGATAATAGAACAAGAAAGTATATTTAGTTATTGTGAGATGTTTAGGCTCACTTTTGGAATCAGCATGATTTTTTTTTTTGGTGCCTTAAGACTAACCATATAACATTATCAATTACTTGGTAGGGATATTTTGATATGACTTAAGGAAGCAAAATAAAGTAATATTCCAAGTCAAAAGTCAGTCTTCTGATATCCTCAACTTTTTGAAACCCAGTCTCAAATGAATTGAAAAGTGAAACAGGTTTCTTAATCCTGAAGAAAGTTGTCATAAAACCAATCACTTTACTCTTGTACTTTGATTCAGAATTGTATTGTCCCTTATTTAGGGTATTATTTAATGGTTATGTAATTTTCAAACTAGAATCTGTTGGGAAGCACAAGTGAAAAAGGTTATCACGGGAAATGTACCAGCAAAAATGGCAATTGACAATGTAGGACAGTCCAAGAAGATTTGAAAAATTAACATGCAGATTCAGCTTTATTACTTCCTAGTAATCAGTCACAATGACCTAAGTCATCCAGGAAAGCACACTATGTTTAAAAAGATACCGTATGATACAGTGGTGAACGATTTCAAAGGAAATAGCTGAAAGAAAGATGCTTAAATAGCTGGAAAATGCAGTTATGTGGAACTCTTCCCCATGGGTGCAGTTATATAATGTATTACTGCATTTACATACTGACATATTTTTATTTTAATGAGGTTTGTCCAAGGCTAATCCTTCAATCTAGCCCCCAATCTAATTTGTCCCTTTGTCCTCTAGGACATTGATCAAGCAGTTTTCTCCATTGTCCTGTGTTGCTCTCTCTCTGCTGGCTGCTTCCCTTGAGACTCAGTCTCTAGACTTTAAAAACAACAACAATAATAAAACCCAACCTAATCCTTTCCTCTTGAAAATCATTTACACTCAGTTGCCTCCTTTTCCTTAATCCTTATTTATTGCTCAACTCAAGACAGCTGGCTCTATCCTCACCAAGGATATGAGTGAAAAGGATGAATTGTTTTAGATTCATATTCCCATTTATTTCTCTGTAAGTCTATTTGTTATAACTCTTTTCTTGATGGGTTTGTCTTTTTTTTTTTTAAAGATATTTTTAAGCAATCTCTATACCCAACGTTGGGCTATAACTCAAAACCCCTGAGATCAAGAGTTATGCTTCACTTAACTGAGCCAGCCAGGCACCCCTCTTTTCTTGACTTTATTACTTTCTTTTGGTTTTTCCTTTATCCCTCTGACTGTTACTTTCTCAGTATCTTTGGTTGGCTCTTTTCCTTAAAAAGCTGGTGTGATATTTCATCATCATCTTAAGCTGCATGTTTTCTGTCTGTCTCATTCTCTTCCATGGCCTCAGCTATTTCTGGAACTTGGGAGCCAATACATCTAGCTGTCTACCTCTAATTTGCTACTATCCCATATTAAAAAATGGGGATTTTTGGTTATGTCTTATTGAGTAGTTGAAATTCAGTAAAGACCCTATGATTCAGACCCTGGGCTTTGGCTTTGCAAACTTAGAAAATTAATTAGGGTAATGTTTTCAAGGTTTATAAATGCTGTAACGCGTATCATTACTTCATTTTTTATGGCTGCATAATATTCCATTATATGAATGTATCACATTTTGTTTATCCATTCATCAGTTGATGGACTTTTGGGTTGTTTCCATTTTGTGGCCGTTATGAATAATGCTACTTTGAACATTTGCATTCAGGTTTTCTGTGGACATGTGTTTTCATTTCTCTTGGGTGTATATCTAGAATGGAATTGCTGGTTCATATGGTAACTTTATGTTTAACTTTTTGAGGAACTGCCAGACTATTCTCTTAAAGCGGCTGTACCATTTTACATTCTTGCCAGTAGTGTATTAGGGTTTTAATTTCTTCACATCCTTGTCAGCACTGGTCTTTTTGATTTTAACTATCCTAGTGGTTTGTGAAATGGTATCTCATTGTGGCTTTGAATTGCATTTTTCTGATGTCTGATAACATTGAGCGTCTTTCCATGTACTTACTGGTCATTTGTATATCTTCTTTGGAGAAATGTCTATTCAGATCCTTTGCCTATTTTTAAGTTGGATTATTTATCTTTTTATTATAGAGTTGTAAGAGGTTTTTATGTATTCTGGATACATTTCCCTTGATAAATGATTTGCAAATATATTCTATTCTGTGGAGTAGCTTTTCACTTTCTTGATGATATTGTTTACATCACAAAAGCTTTTAATTTTCATGAAACCCAATCAGTTTTTTAATTTTTTTGCTTATACTTGGTGTCACATTTAAGAAGCCATTGCCAAGTCCAGGACTGCAAAGGTTAATGCATTTGTTTTTGTCTAAGAGTTTATATTAGCACTTAAATTTAGGTCTCTGATCCATTTTGAGTTACTTTTTTTTATGATTAATTATATGTATATTTTTTGTGTGAAGTGTCTGCTTATATGTTTTATTCATTTTTCTATTAATTTTTTCTTAGTATTTTTCTTGTTAATATACTTGAAGTATATTTTAAAAATATTACATGTCAGTTAATATCTTAATTTTTAATATTAATAGTACTTTAAAGGTATTTTGTTGCCTCTTTTTTTTTTTTTTTTAAACAGGTAAAAGAAGTATAAGAAATGCTTACCTTACATACTTGTCCCACTTGCCCAGTTTCCCTCCCTGGAGTCACTGTCTTTAATTTATCTTTTTATTTTTTTATTTTTAAAGATTTTATTTATTTATTTGACAGAGAGACACAGCGAGAGCAGGAATACAAGTAGGGGGAGTGGGAGAGGGAGAAGCAGGCTTCCCGCTGAGCAGGGAGCCCGATGTGGAACTCGATCCCAGGACTCTGGGATCATGACCTGAGACGAAGGCAGACGCTTAAGGACGCTTAAGGGAGCCACCCAGGCGCCCTTAATTTATCTTTTTAAATACTGATTTCTACACTGTAGTTCCAGAGAAATTTATATTAGTTCTTTATATAAATATATACAACATATTTTAATTTTGTACAGTTAAAT